AATTTCAATTTCATTAATTAACAAATTTCAAATTAATTTGCAAATCATTTCAAGCCAGCGCAGCAAAAAAAAAAAAACGACTCATCATAATGTTATACCCTTTGATTGTGATCTCTTCCTTCCCCAAAAATTCAGTTTAATAAAGTTGAGAAACAGGACGTTTAGAAGTTACAGTTATGTTTCGTTACGTTACGTTTCGTTACGTTACGGTAACAGTAACAGTAACTTCTTTTACAACGAAACATTTCCCGTGCAACCAAACATTTCAAAATTGGGCAAAGTCGTTAGATTAAGGAAACATACAAAAAAAGGGGAAATATTACACAAAATATAAAAAATCTACACGAAAATTACGACATCGAGTAAGGCACCGTAACACGGAAACCTTTTCTTCTTTTATATATGTTAACAAGTTTTTAAACGAAAATGTGACAGTGAGATTCGTGTCTTTTACTCACACAACGACATCACTCAGATCAAGACAATAATAGTCTATTTTATCAATTCAAAAAAATACAAATAGGGCGGCCGTCCCCATATTTTTTTTTCGTTTTTTTCGTAGAGAAATTCCTCTCAGGCCATTTCAGCGCACGGAACTCAACTTTATATGACGTCCCTGTCCATCTTCAAGCAATCAAGTTTACAGATGGTGAGCACATTCAAACCATGAAATCATTTATCATTATACAACGTTATACAAGATGGTCAAAAAATAAAAATACCACTGCGCCGAGTGTTTCATAGCATTATAATAATAAAAATACACGATTCAATTGATTCAATCATTTACACATAACAGGAGAGACCGTTCTGGTAACAAAAAATTTAACCTACGCAATTGTTGATCGACCAATCAAAAATCGTGAATTTGATAACGTAAAAATATAAAACATTGATTCGTTTTGTCAACAATCACTTCACCAACAGTTGTTTCGTTAACAAATGGTTCTAATTTAAGAATTTGGAAGCAAACATTTGAAATAGTCTAATAAATTAAATCGTACTACTCGAAAATGCATTTAAAGGGTTGGTTTTCGACTTGGTTGAAGAATAACTCTCTTCATAACTCTTCTCTTGACCATATCTCTTGATATAATCAAAATAACCTTAATATAACGAATATCAAGATGATTGTAAACGCGACCAATTTAAGATATACGATCAAGAGAAAACATGAACAATGTATGAAAAAGTCAAACAAATTTATTTAATAAAACAAAATTTACAACTCAAAAAAATTTTTTTTGCATGTAATAAAATTCCATTATTA